TAGCTGTCTTGCAGGGGAAAAAGAAGAAGATGAAATGACGGATTTCTTGGTCAAGTCTGGCACATTGCATTGATGAAACCTTTCTGGTTCCTATTACACGGTGACCATTCACTGCCTTCTAAATCAATGGCTCATGTTGTGTGTGTTATTTTGCACATTGAAGTGTATATTGTGCTTCTTCCATTGTTAAGATTAAAAATTCACTATTATTTAGAGCAACATGTGTCTGGATCTCCCAATCTTACATTCCCTTTGGTTCGTTTATATTTTCACTAATCTTCTTCATCTTATCCTAAATTCCACTTGATATTGGATTTTGTGCTTTTCCTTTTGTGTGAAACGATGTAGAAGCAAATAAGAATTTAATAATGGAAATGAATGTTGTTGCTTTTGAGTATAGGAGTGATTTGTTTGAAAGAGAGGCCCCAGAGGTGCTAGAAGTTGCATTATGATTTAATTGTACATGAAACTAGGCAGGAAAAGAGCTAAGGGGAAAAAAGAAATGAAAGATATCAATACGAATGAGAAAAAGTAAAAAAATGGAAATTGCTGTGGGTGGATTATAATTGTTATAGTAGGAGCTCTAGTGGGTTTGATCAGTTTCTTTTTCTTCAACCATGAGGTCATATTACGTATATATGTTCACTTTAAATTTTCTTGGCAATAAGAATGATTATGTGATGTTTTGGCTGTATTTAGGATAAACTATCGGATAAAGTATCATTGGTGTTCGTATGGTATACCTTTCTTGTGTAATAGTTCATTAAATCAAGCCTCTTTCGGTCTCCACAGCGCAACAAGAAGAGAATCAATAGAGTAATGGTGCATGGACTTCTCCAGCAAGCTTTCTTGCATTGGATGAATGACTCGATGACAAGCTACATTTATGGATAAATTGTGAAATATGCCTCGTGGATAACTTCTCCTGAGAACAGTTAAAAAGTTCAACAGGGGGAGGTATCCTCTAAACTCCAGCACTAAGATCTGGAACTGATCAATATATGAAAGTATCTGCTGCAGCATTTATGAGGGCCAGCAATTGATCATCATGTCATCTTAACACTTTGTTTCCTCAAAACGTTTTCAACACTCACTCTAGTCAACAATGCTGAGCTAGGTGTTGGATGAGAATGAGGAAGGATAGATAATGCTCGGTTGATGCTTAATGAATTTCTGAAAGAGGAAAACTCAATGGATCAGCCTAATGAGTTTTTGAAATAGGAAAACTTGCCTGTAAGCAATTGACCCGGCGCAAGTGAAACAAAGTTGTAGAATTGATACTTAATTCAGACGTCCAGTTGACCCCTTCAAGGTGGTCTCTGGAAAGATTTTCTTATTGCCACTTAAAGAGTAAAGCTACTAGTTTTGCAAGCTGGTTGGCCCATTTTGTAACTCTGGGCCTTCACCATGATTCAAGTGCACCTAAAGTGTTATGGTATTTCTCTTCTCTTATGCCCGTGATTCAAGTGCCATTGCTTTTCATTGGAATGTGTTGGGGCTTTGTGGCATTAGAGTTTGGTTTGATTGTCCTATTATGGAGTATTTTTTCTATGGTTGTTAGCGAGTGTCATAACATTCCTCTTTTACCTTGGATTTAAGAGTGATCTCATTGCATAGGAAATGTGTCTGGTGTTTCCATTTGGATATGGTTACGTTTTGTACTTGGATTGAAAATATTCAAAAATATTTCCCACTGTTGTTATATTGGTTCCCTTTCCTGTTGTGGGGAAGTTGGGCAAGGCGATGTGTTTGGAGCAGCTGCTATAGATTGCATCTGATATGGCCAGTTTTAATGTCTTCCCTTTTTTGCTTGCTCTGGCTTTTCCTGCATGCTGATTTGTATTCCATTTCTCATCTGCATGGTGTGTTGTTTTTAGCGCGTCTGAGTTGAATAAATGCAAGACAATATTGGTGCACCAGTGGCAGGTTCAGTTATATACTTGGGCTGTGTCTTGGGAAAGGTACAATGGTTCTTTTGTATTTTTTAGAGTACTTTGTTGGTTTTCTTATGTTCGTGCTGTTGTTCGGTTTTATTGAAAATCTACACTCCGTTAGCTTTTTCAACTCTTTTTTTTCTTCCTTTTTTCTTGTGTGATGTTGCCATGGATCTTCTCTCTATCTCTTTGCAACGCACTTCAAGCAAATGAGTTATCATATCTTTTGGACCTAATGAGTGGGCCATGTGGGATGGTTTTATTTAGTGGACCAGAGGTGGCATATTCTTCATGTACCATGTGTGGGGTGGTATCTTGTTTGGTTTTCTTTGGGGTGCTGTTATTCAGTTGCCGTTGGTAGTTTTGGACTGAAGATCTCCCTAATCATTAGAGGCCTCATCTTTTGTATGAACGTCTTATAACCTCTGCTCTATTTCTTCTTGCCTCACTATTTTATGGTGATTTCACTGATTATTTCAGCATGTAGTTTTGGGTATGTCATTTCTGGGAGCAGTTGGGTTGTTTATGGTGTTTAGGGCAGTTTGGATTGTTGCATTACTTACACAGTCATGTTTTCAGCTATTGTTTCTCACAAAATCTATTTTTTTTGGCACACTGATCTGTTTTTATGAACCCGGCTGCAACGAAGTTTCAAGTCTTTCAAGTGTTGTTAAAGCACTGTGATCCTGTTGTAGTTTTTTAAGTTTTGTGGTGCAGCTTTTAAAAATTAGACATGGTACACCATTATAGTTCCTTATTGACTGCTGGGATGTGGCCGTTGTCCCAACTTCTTTAAAACTTACCCCACGTGTTGCAAGTAAAAGTTGGTGGAGCAGCTGGTCCTCTGTGCCTTTCTTATTTGTGCACACATGCATGCACGTCTTTATGAATCTTTTGCCATCGCCCTGTAAGTTCCTTTGTGTTTGGCAAATGCTATTTTTGTTTGTGTACGGCATGTTTCCTGCTGCTAAGTATGCATTTGTAGACCTGTTGCATTCTCTATTCACGTTTGCTACTTTATGCCTGCCCATAATTTGGAAACTTTCCCCCTTGATATATCTTAGAGGCTGTTGATTTATAATAGTTTTTGCTTTGCAGTCCAAATGGCAAGTATGATGAGTACATGTATCGCTTAAGACAAGCTTGAAAGGTAAAGGGATTTAAATGCTTTTCATATGGTTTGGTTGTAGTATTAAGGACTGTTTGGATATGACATGGCCCTTTTATTTGTTATTGGCAGTCTTCGTAAACCAGGGGATCACAATAGAAGACTGCAAACATTGAGGGTTCTGTTGGGTTGTGGTTTCTTTTTTCTTTTCTGTAGTTGTCTAATTTCTTTGTGGGCTGAGATCATTTATATTTTCTTGGGAGGACTGTGTTGAACNGTTGGGTTGTGGTTTCTTTTTTCTTTTCTGTAGTTGTCTAATTTCTTTGTGGGCTGAGATCATTTATATTTTCTTGGGAGGACTGTGTTGAACTTGAAAGGGTTAGGAGCATGTGGATTTTTGCTATTAGATACCTTGTTGTTTCTGCTGTTTCCAAGAACATTTACTCGTTAAGTTAGAATTTTTTGGGTTGGACGCTTTAAGAAGACTAACATGATGTGAAGTGTTGATTGACTAACTGCTTTTTGAGGATTCATTGTCTTGGGTTATTTCTATGCTAGACTGTTTCTGTCTCTCTCATATTCATTGCAATCATGCCATGACTCTTGAAAGGTGTCTTGCTTAAGAGGTTTTATTGCTTGTGTCAACATTGTTGATGGATCTGCCCCACTTTCAGGCCCCCCCCCCCATTTTTCTCTCTCCCTGTGTACTTTGATTAGGGGTGGCAATCGTGTCATGTTGTATCGTGTCCGGGTCGTGTCATGTTTTGATTGGGTTGAAAACACATCAACCCAAACACGACCTGTGAGTTAAACGGGTTAGGTAATTTGGACACAAACATGACCTGCCTTGAAACACGACTAACCTGACATGACCTGTGACACGAGAATTACACGGCTCGAGTTCGGGTAAACACGACTCAAACCCGCCTAACACGACCCAACCGACATGAAATAACAAAAAAAAAAATTAGACCAGTTTTACATAAAACAAAGGCATTAAAAATATCACAAATATCCCAAAACAAATACATCCACAACATTACAAATATTCAAAAAGTTTTACAAATATCCCAAAGTAATATTACAATCATCTTACCAAAAATCATACTAAGCCGGTCATTACGGCCATTACATTCACAACAGAACTCTCACGTTAGAATGAAATCTTCTTCATCAAATCTTCTTCATCTTCTAAATCTGGCCAACATCTTGTCAAGAAACATACTAAGCTTTTAACTTCAATAAATATGGAATGGTTGTTGTGACAAAAAATAAAAACAAACGCATAAGATTGAGAAAAAGAGTTAGGTTTTATGACACACACATCAACAATCAAGATCCACAATCACATTTGAACATTGCACCAATGCATCCTCATTTTTGTTCAAAGTCAGATTCATTACATCTTCTACCAGCTCTTACAATTGCACTTGTGAATTTTCTAAATAACAATAAGGAAAGCATATAAATAAGAATTCAATATTTGTAAAAATAATTAAATATCGTAGTCATCACAAATTATATTTATTACTTTTTTCTGCATATAACCAATCCCTAGTGCACATCAAAGCCTTGACAACATGAGGCTTCAAAGCACTACGGTATTGGTCAAGAACCCGACCACCAATACTAAAAGCTGATTCTGAAGCAATCGTAGAAATTGGAATAGTTAACACATCACGAGCCATAATAGCAAGTTTCGGATAACGATACTGATGAGCTCTCCAATAATCAAGAACAAGTAGTTCTGTTTCTATGTAAACCCTAGGCTCATCCAAATACAATTGCAATTGATTTTTTTGTGTTTTAAGACCAGATGCATTGCTCTCACTGACAAATGCCTATATTATCAAAATCACAGACTTTTAAATCATAGACTATCAATATTATTAATCTAATACAATAAAAACTATAAAATAAAAAATTAAATTCCTTCAAATCTAACATAGGTTGTGTGTTCAAGATTGACTCACAAGCAACTACACCACCACGGGGAACAGTTGATGATTGAGAAGAAGAGGTGACAACAGATTTGCTTATATACTCATCAAATAGAGAAAAAAGCTTATCTCGAACATGAAAATACTCAAGAGAGCCTTCACCATAACGCTTCTTATAGCACCACTCCACAAAGTCAAGTTTATAGCGAGGATCAAACACAATTGCAATGACCAATATCATGCTATACTCTAACCAATACTTCTCAACTTTTTCATACATTAGACAAGACATTCTTCTCATAAAAATATCCAAACTTTGCATTTCTTTATTCAAAGTCAATTGAATACTGAAAACTTGTTGAAAGTACAAGTTTGATGTGGGGTACTTGGAGCCAGAAAAAATAACAGGAGTATCATAGAAATTTTTTAAAAACATCTAAATCTTTTCAACTTTGATCCATTCCTCTTGAGATGGACAATGGTTAAAATTAGAATCCACAAGTTGCAAATGACAAAAGACAGGAAGGTTATAAATTGTACTTACAAGCATCAAATATGTTGAGTTCCATCTAGTAGGAACATCTTGCCTCAAACTTTTTTTGCTATTTAAAGATGTCTGTGCAACACACTAAGAATTTTTGTTTTCTTGCCTAAGAACTTTTTACATACTTGACACCCTCTTTGACTTTTTTTATAGCTAAATCTATTTCTTTCAACCCCTCTTGCACAATCAAGTTTAGAATATGAGCACAACAACGAATATGAAAAAACCCACCATCACCAAGCAAAGCATCTATCAAATTAAGTTGATTCTTAAGCATATCAACTATGACATCATTTGCAGAAGCATTATCCAAAGTAATTGAAAATAACTTTTTTTCAACCCCCCATTTTGTCAACAAATCATAAATCTTGTCAGCCAGTGCAATGTCACTGTGTGGAGGAGGCATGTAAGAAAAATTCAAAATTTTTTTTTGCAATACCCAATCTTTGTCGATGAAATGTGCTGTGAGACTTAAATACCCATCGGTAGTAATAGATGTCCACAAATCAGAAGTTAAACTAATCCTACCAGGTATGTCATGCAAGATAACAGACAACCTACGCATCTCTTTTGCATGCAATTTTAGAATATCAGCCTTAGCCGTGTTTCTTGTAATAAATTTGACATCTGGATTTAAGTAGCTAAAGATTTGTCTTACGCATTCATACTCAACGAATTGAAAGGGCAAATCATGTCTAATTACTGCACGTATTAACATCTCTCGAAATTTTTCCTCGTTAACCTTCAAAGACCGTGCAGTAATAGACCCTTGACTTTCACTTAAAATTAACTGGCTCATATCACGTTGTTTCAAACAAGTCTCTAAATGACGCCCCAAATTACCAGTTCCATACTAACAGCATTATACTCAATCTTACATTTGTTGCATTGTGCCTTTGTAACATTGTCTTGATTTACATACTTTCTAAAATATCCCCATACCTCTGATGTGGAAGTACGTTGCCGCCTTTCATCATTCTTATTATCTCCACTTTCTGTATCTGGGGCAGCATTGAATGTATTCTCAAGCTCAATATTGACATCTACAGTCGGTTGAGTACATGATGTATCCTCCATTTTTCTGGACAATTAGAAAAATTAGAAACGTAATGAGATTCCAGAAATTAGAAACATAATGAACATTCAAAAACGTAATGAACAGAAAGCTTCAGGTGATCGACACATCAAGTTAGAGTGTACACAGTGGAAGTTTCAGGTAATGAACAGAAAGTTAGAGTTGATTTGGTTTGGGGCATGACAATCTATTTTAGGACTAAAACAGAAAGCTTTTAGTTACATATAATCTTGAAAATAAATTCTGATTCCAAGATGCACACATTACACAGACACATTACACAGAAAGCTTTAAAACTTTTACTGTTATCACCTTTAGACGCAAGCTGCTGGAGAATCAAAGCTTGAGTGGACTTTTTTGAGTAGCACCGCAAAAAATAAGGAGGGTAGTCAGAATATGAATAACAGAAAGAATATCCTCCAAAGCCAACGAAGCATCAACAAGCTTAATCACGAATCTGGACATAACACATAAAGTAATGAACATGCTCAACCCAAAATCATGAGCTCTGGACATAGATCAAGTTGGAACTCATAACAAAATGAGCATTCTAAAAGCNCTCAACCCAAAATCATGAGCTCTGGACATAGATCAAGTTGGAACTCACAACAAAATGAGCATTCTAAAAGCATAGAACAAGATCTTAGTTTCTAAAAATTCCAACAAAGATCAAGCTTAATCCGGAATTCCAATGAACAACAAAAACAAAACGTCACCCAGAATTTTGTTTCCAACAATACAAACCATTTGAATACTACAATCAGGATAAGTGTACGGCTACTGAAATAAATGAAAAAATATATATATTCAATACAATGGTGATACCATCCCACACCCCACAATAGNACACCACCACGGGGAACAGTTGATGATTGAGAAGAAGAGGTGACAACAGATTTGCTTATATACTCATCAAATAGAGAAAAAAGCTTATCTCGAACATGAAAATACTCAAGAGAGCCTTCACCATAACGCTTCTTATAGCACCACTCCACAAAGTCAAGTTTATAGCGAGGATCAAACACAATTGCAATGACCAATATCATGCTATACTCTAACCAATACTTCTCAACTTTTTCATACATTTGACAAGACATTCTTCTCATAAAAATATCCAAACTTTGCATTTCTTTATTCAAAGTCAATTGAATACTGAAAACTTGTTGAAAGTACAAGTTTGATGTGGGGTACTTGGAGCCAGAAAAAATAACAGGAGTATCATAGAAATTTTTTAAAAACATCTAAATCTTTTCAACTTTGATCCATTCCTCTTGAGATGGACAATGGTTAAAATTAGAATCCACAAGTTGCAAATGACAAAAGACAGGAAGGTTATAAATTGTACTTANGGAGTATCATAGAAATTTTTTAAAAACATCTAAATCTTTTCAACTTTGATCCATTCCTCTTGAGATGGACAATGGTTAAAATTAGAATCCACAAGTTGCAAATGACAAAAGACGGGAAGGTTATAAATTGTACTTACAAGCATCAAATATGTTGAGTTCCATCTAGTAGGAACATCTTGCCTCAAACTTTTTTTGCTATTTAAAGATGTCTGTGCAATACACTAAGAATTTTTGTTTTCTTGCCTAAGAACTTTTTACATACTTGACACCCTCTTTGACTTTTTTTATAGCTAAATCTATTTCTTTCAACCCCTCTTGCACAATCAAGTTTAGAATATGAGCACAACAACGAATATGAAAAAACCCACCATCACCAAGCAAAGCATCTATCAAATTAAGTTGATTCTTAAGCATATCAACTATGACATCATTTGCAGAAGCATTATCCAAAGTAATTGAAAATAACTTTTTTTCAACCCCCCATTTTGTCAACAAATCATAAATCTTGTCAGCCAGTGCAATGTCACTGTGTGGAGGAGGCATGTAAGAAAAATTCAAAATTTTTTTTTGCAATACCCAATCTTTGTCGATGAAATGTGCTGTGAGACTTAAATACCCATCGGTGGTAATAGATGTCCACAAATCAGAAGTTAAACTAATCCTACCAGGTATGTCATGCAAGATAACAGACAACCTACGCATCTCTTTTGCATGCAATTTTAGAATATCAGCCTTAGCCGTGTTTCTTGTAATAAATTTGACATCTGGATTTAAGTAGCTAAAGATTTGTCTTACGCATTCATACTCAACGAATTGAAAGGGCAAATCATGTCTAATTACTGCACGTATTAACATCTCTCGAAATTTTTCCTCGTTAACCTTCAAAGACCATGCAGTAATAGACCCTTGACTTTCACTTAAAAATAACTGGCTCATATCACGTTGTTTCAAACAAGTCTCTAAATGACGCCCCAAATTACCAGTTCCATACTAGCAGCATTATACTCAATCTTACATTTGTTGCATTGTGCCTTTGTAACATTGTCTTGATTTACATACTTTCTAAAATACCTCCATACCTCTGATGTGGAAGTACGTTGCCGCTTTTCATCATTCTTATTATCTCCACTTTCTGTATCTGGGGCAGCATTGAATGTATTCTCAAGCTCAATATTGACATCTACAGTCGGTTGAGTACATGATGTATCCTCCATTTTTCTGGACAATTAGAAAAATTAGAAACGTAATGAGATTCCAGAAATTAGAAACATAATGAACATTCAAAAACGTAATGAACAGAAAGCTTCAGGTGATCGACACATCAAGTTAGAGTGTACACAGTGGAAGTTTCAGGTAATGAACAGAAAGTTAGAGTTGATTTGGTTTGGGGCATGACAATCTATTTTAGGACTAAAACAGAAAGCTTTTAGTTACATATAATCTTGAAAATAAATTCTGATTGCAAGATGCACACATTACACAGACACATTACACAGAAAGCTTTAAAACTTTTACTGTTATCACCTTTAGACGCAAGCTGCTGGAGAATCAAAGCTTGAGTGGACTTTTTTGAGTAGCACCGCAAAAAATAAGGAGGGTAGTCAGAATATGAATAACAGAAAGAATATCCTCCAAAGCCAACGAAGCATCAACAAGCTTAATCACGAATCTGGACATAACACATAAAGTAATGAACATGCTCAACCCAAAATCATGAGCTCTGGACATAGATCAAGTTGGAACTCATAACAAAATGAGCATTCTAAAAGCATAGAACATGATCTTAGTTTCTAAAAATTCCAACAAAGATCAAGCTTAATCCGGAATTCCAATGAACAACAAAAACAAAACATCACCCAGAATTTTGTTTCCAACAATACAAACCATTTGACTACTACAATCAGGATAAGTGTACGACTACCGAAATAAGTGAAAAAATATATATATTCAATACAATGGTGATACCATCCCACACCCCACAATAGGAAAATGAACAAGTCAATTCCACGATAATTACTAAATCTAACAGAATAAGGTGTATATGGATTGAAATTATTGGAGAGTTCAATGTGAACATAAATTAATTTTAGTATCCATGTTCATCTTATCCTGTTAGAGATCAACATCGAGATCCCGAGAGTCCTGGAAAGAGAATACCAAAAAGTCCACTCAAAAGATGAGTAAAGTTTGGCATGACTTAGCAAGGGTTTGATGATACCATCAAACTCGAGCCTTTTCATTGGCTTTGAGATTTGTGAAATAGCAAATTAGTAACCAATAACAAAATCTGTGTACATGAGTAATTATCTCAAGCTAGAGGCCATACTAAATGCAATAACAATTTCAAGCTGCTCTGTTTCACCATATTAACAATTTGAAATTGCTCTGTTCCGCTGGTCGCCAAGAGAGATCGCCAAAAATATACGTCAAGATAAAAAACAACGCCAAGAGGAAGAGACAGAGAGCGAGAGAGAGAGCTAACCTAGTCTAGTCTGCTGGTCACCAAGAGAGATCGACTGGAGTCTGGACAGAGAGAATGAGGGAAGGAGGAAGGCGGCTGGACAGAGGGAAGGAAAAAATAATTAAATGTTTTATATAGTGGTGGGTTAATTCCGGGTCAAAATATGTCAGCGGGTTTGTGTCAACCCGATTAAATATACGGGTCAATTTGGGTAAATTCGGGTTAAGCGGGTTGAACCCAAACACGACCCATAAAAATTTTGTGTTGAAGGGTCGTGTCATATACGGGTCGTGTCAAAAAATTAGTCAACCCAAACTCATTTATTTGTATCGTGTTTCGTATCGAGTTATCGTGTCGTGTTAAAAATTGTCATTCCTAACTTTGATTATATGGCATACACCTGAGTTTATGGTGTTCTATGTTTTATGTTATATTTTACAATATCGTCTTTTGTGAAAATACATTGACGGGTTTTACTTTCAGATTTTAGGTAAATCTGAGCATTATTAATTCTTTTGGAGTGAAAACCTAGTTTTCTAGCCCACCAAGAAAAAAAAAAAAGGAAAAAAAAGGCTACACCTTTTTCTTTCGCAGTGTAAGTTTGTAAGTTCCCTCGATATATTTTGTTACTTCTTGTTCTTTTTCAATTATTTGTAGTGCGACGCAAACTTGTTCTTCACATTGTTTCTATTTCTTTGTATGTGAGAGCCCATTGGCATAGGTTTGTGTGGTTCGAGCCCCACTGCTCTCTCTGTCTCTCTCCAAGAAAAGATAAATAAAAAACCTGATGTGATTCAACACATTGTATGCATTAGTCTCTGGTTTTCC